TGAATTTTTATATGTTATCTCGAGTCTGAGCGTACCTTACCATACCTTACTTGTTTCGGTTTACATATATAATCGCTTTAGCTACTAAAAATTATGAAAATATTAAATCATCAATTGTCTTATCTGTATATTTTCTTCCATGACGTGTTCTACCTACTTATCATCGACTTACCAGATACTTTATCCTTGTAACGTATTGCCAAACTATAATTAAAGTAGAATATTACTAAGATGGTGCTCAATTTGATCATATTGTATTTTTAAATTGTACAAGAAATAAAAAACTGTTTTAAATAAGTACTTATACATTAACGATTTAGTTTCGTTACATTTACGGTTTGATGAACTTACTGACAACGACAGAATGTAGTAAATAAAATGTGTTACGCACTACGTGAAACGTGAACAACGATCACACGCCACCAAGTACGCGCATAACCATACGGAATAGTGGTTCCGTGCCCAGAATAGTCAATGGCCAATTTATCAGTACATAGTTAGGGGGTAGAGCAGCTGATATCATTTTCAATACATCCTACGTTACAGTTGCGCCAAAAACAGTAGGTAACTACTTTCAAACGTTTTATAAATCAATCAGTCAATTACTATATTAGGTCGTTTGACCATAGAAATTATCCTGAGGTCCATACCAAGGATTATTTGATGTGTATTATACAGAATCCGTAATGCACAATAATATATTTGTTTCTGAAAACAAACAAATTTTTTGTGTAGTGTGTGGGGCTACAAAAAAAACTCTGCGATCTATACGACGAACGTGATAGTAATTTTTTGAAATCCCAGTGCGGGGTTCAATATATTGTCTTTGCAATTCATACAATAACGGACAGCATATTTAACTTTTTCTGTATGAAATAGAACGTGAAAAAAATATCTCTTACTGAGTTTCTTTAATTATTTTTTTGTGTTTAATTAAAGTCTCAATACATTTGATATCCCTCAATATAGTCAACATATATGTTTGACCACTTATATTTCTCTACAATTCTACAAATCGCGTTATGTTGTGAGGATTCTTCGATCTCAAAAAAAGAATATAAATATTATGTCATTGCTACTAAAGAATTATGTGAACATACTTGAATATAAATTGAGAGAGATTTATAGTCTCATTCCCACTTTGTTGTGTTAACAACCAATTGTTTTACTATTAATGATTGACTTTTTTAGCCATTTCAAGTATTTGTTACGTTTTCATACTTTTTACGTTTACCCCTGGCACAATAAAAATTTACATAGAGTCAAAGGTGATAGAAAACAAGGTACTACATTTTAAGATTACAGAAGAGTTCTACTTTTGAATATTTACATTGAGTAAATAAGCGTAAATAATTGAGCGTCATCCTTTTGTTTTAGAAATGGATGACAAAAACTTCAAAAAAAGATTACCGACTTGAAACTTTAAAAAAAATGATATAGCATTTTCTTGAATAAGTCGCTTTTAAGATGAGTATTATTTATCACGTATTTAAAATCTGAAGTCGGATCATTTTTTTTAGTTCTTATTTCATGCTTATAATAATATTAATATTTTTTATACAATAGATAACACTAAAATATAATAATAATATACTTTATTTCACTCAATATGATACAATGTTTATATGAGCTTATTATAAATAAGATAATATGAAAATAGTTTTATAATTTGAAAAGGAAATAATTTCTAACTTCATCGCTAAAAGATCCTAATGATTGAGCCCTCCTGACACCCTCTGGAAGAGAATTCCACAGACGCACAGCATGCACAGCAAAAGAATATGAACAGAAATCTGTAGAGTGACGAGGAATTTCGAGAGTAAGATTTGGAGAGGAACGCAACATACATTGAGATGAAGAGGAGTGACAATAGAATGATTGTTTAAGTATGGTTGGAAGGAAAAGTATAGAACCGTAAGAGTATGCAAGTCCCTGCGCCGGCGAATAGGGAGTCAATTTAACTTTGAACGGAAATACGACACATGGTCATATTTCCGAAGATTGAAAATAATTCTAATGCAAACATTCGACAGACGCTTTAGTTTGTTAAGAAGTTCTTCGTATTATATTAATTATCTATATAAATAAAAATATTCAACATAGTGAAAATCTGAGCAAAAAAATATGTTGTTTATTTGCTCGTTATAATTTTTTCTAATAATTCTATACTCATTTTATAGAGAGGAAAGATTTGATTGCCTTTTTGTTTGCATTGGATAGAGTCCGAAAGTATTTGGACCGATTTATAAAAGTACGTCATCTACGGGAAGAAATTGGTTCACAATTCAAGAAGAAATTGATTGACATATCTACTTTCATAAAAATATGCATACTCATTGAACATAGAAAATCCTCCTTTCGGAATGAATTCAAAATACGCAATCTTTTGTTTTTTTTTTTATTTGAAACACATCAAATACAGTACATATCATTTAAATATTTAGGTGATATCTGGTAAAGACGTATTTTGTTTTGTTATAAAAGTTCATTCGGTTCATTAAGCTGACGAATAAAATAAGAATTTTGAAAATCAGTCATCAATTGGCAGACATATCTGTGAACACACATAAAATTAAAAACATGCAATGCCGTCAAACATATAGCCTCCTTTTGGATTTTGAAGTAGGTTAAAAAAGGATTTATGACAGGGCAAAGAGGCCAGTACATAAAATGTAATCAAAAAGTTTTCAGGAGATCATTTTATACTGAAAAACTTAAAATGAACTCGAAATAGGTAAAACTTTCTTAATTGCCAAACTACATCATACTTAACGAAAAATCTACTTTGTCCCTGGTACTCTGAGATGGGACTCGAACCCATTACCTTTCGCAATCCGGGCGGCTTTCTACTGAGTTACTCAGGACCTAAAAGGACTGACGAATTTTTCAAGCATTTGTTACTCTCTCGCTACTACAGAGCGTATTTTCATCAATGTTCAGGCAATCCACCCAAACAGCCGAAAGAAATATTTCAGTAGTTTTTTAGTATAGTATTGTAAATGCAAAATTAAAAATAAATTCATGTTTAAAAATACACGTTCGTGTGATTTATGTTTTTAGGGTTCCGTACCTAGAAAGGTAAAAAACGGAACCCTTAAAGGATCACTTTTTGTTCGTCCGTCCGTGCGTCTGTAAAGAGACTTTTTTCCAGGAACGCGTGGAGGTATCAAGCTGAAATTCAAGCTGAAATTTATATTGTATCAAGTATTCAGATATACTGTCCTTTGGAACTGTGAAAAAATTAAACTTCTAAGCTAACGCAATAAAAAGATACATCCGATTATGCCGCAAATTTTCAGAACTCGCAAGGGAATCAAAACCTACAGGGTACTTCCCGTGAACTCAAAATCTTGAAATTTGGTACGAAGCAACGTCTTATAGTATAGATAAAGGAAAAAATGCGAAATCCGTAAATGTTTAGTGACGACACATAAAAAAATAAATACAGGTTTGCACAGAACCCTATGTGCGTGGGTCCGGTTGGCACTTGGTCGGTTTTTTACCGTCTTAGTTTGGGATCTGAGCAATGTAGGCATGTAATGTCACCTAATAAAAAATATATATTGTAGAATATAATGCCTCCACGTGGCTTACCGCAGTTATCCCCACATGATTCCAGTGTTTTGCTTCTACTGAGAGCATTTAAAACTTAACTTTTTATAGTAAAATGAAAGAAGCCTTTCTTAAAAAATATCGCTGTTCCAAAACATCTTGCTCTATAAGAATCCCTTAACGCCAATTTTTAGGACTGAAAATGCTTAGTTGCACATCTTCTGCCCTTGACAGATACAGCTTGAATGTTTTGCGCATCATCCGAGTATTGCACGTTCTCGATTTGGCTAGGGAGTAAAATTCAAGCGTAGTGAGTTCTATTTTAACCCGTAGAGCCAGTCAGATTCTGAGGAGGATATGCAAGAAGATATCGATTAATTTTGTATTATAACGGTGATAATAAAAATGTTTGTTTATTGAGGAATGGTAATTTGCTTATAAAACTGTATCGTTAATAATAAAATTTAATAAACACTTTCCCGGTTCCCGGCAATTAGTCGCTTGATGGCGGTAGTAATAGTAATATTAACGATTACTCTGTGACTCTGAATGATCTTGACAAATGAACCGAATTAATTATGGGTATTACTATCTATTTATTTATTTTATTAATCTATATATCTTATACGTTTATCAAATATTTTAGTTAGTAAGTATTTATTAGTATTTTTGTAGTGTCTGGTTAGTAGTGTAGTTCTTTTATCAATTTCTTTCTGAATTCTTGAATTTTTTTTTAATATTTACAGTGCGACCACTTGTAATTGGGGTAAAAACTGAAAATCAGTGCTTTGCTCTTTGAGTAAATACACACTGAGTTTTCGCCCATTTGCATCGCTGCGGTACACATAATGTTTGATTGTCCTGTTTTAGTTTCTAATATTGTGTAAAATCCAAATTGTAAAATTTTGTGTATGCATGATGCAAATAAAGAATTTATCTATCTATCTAACTTTCAAATATGAATTTATTTTTATTTTACTACGAAATAGAGAAATATTAAATTATAAATACCGCCATTACATCGATAAAAGAGATTCTAACATATTATCCTGAGGTTTATCTGTCCTTAAATGCCTCATGTGCGTCTTGTCAATCGCGCCCTCTCCCGTTTCACCGCCCAAATATCTCAGACGGTGACCAGCACTTCCGCGCACTCTATAATTACCTACTTGAACTATGCATGTTAGTTCGTGGGTAGTAAATAAGAATGTATTCTGTGAATTTAATGTAGGAAATTACGTATGCCAACGGATTACCTCTTTACTGTGAAATTCTCTCAATTTCCTAGAATTTTTGGTTAACTCAAAAACTCCAAAGAAGCATTTTAAAATACCAATGTCTTAATGGAATTGATAACTAGGCTGAATAGGCTAAGATCCCATTGCTTTTTTTGCAGCATCAGAGTTATGTCATTTTTAGTTGTCAAATGTCAATGTCAATTTGACAGTGAAATCTGTGGAAGCGTGAGCGCGATGGGTGATATTGCTGGCGAAGATATCAAAAACTTAAATATTAACGAAAAGGCAGGGTTATAAACAGATTATTTCGTTTCAAATATTCATAATAATTATTGTATGAGTGATGTTAAAACTGGTGAACGTCCGTGGTGGCTGCGTGCTCTACTGCAATAGGGCCTTTGCCACATGGGTCTGTAGGCATATTTCGTCAGACAACTGATTCGTCATAGAAATATAAAATATCGAATTGTAGAGAGATTATTATTTTAATTTTTATATATCTCATTTCAGTGTGCACAAAGTCTCGGACTAGAGAATTTCAATTTGTTAATTTTATAGTGTTTTGTTGAGCTTTAATTATATTTATGATCCTCGATTATTCTGTTAGTTGTATGTAGATCGTTGTTAAACAAATTCTGATTTTACATAATACTAATTACTAATATTTATATTGTTGTACAGTCCAAGACTAAAGCAATGAAAGAAAAAAAGAAGAAAAATGAGGATTCTTCAGGAGTAACAGAAATGAATCCATGGCCTGAATATATTCAGAAGCGTATCATTCTATGGGATAAATACAAATCACAATATACTGAGAAGTTGGCATCATTACCAGAAATGAGTATTGTAGTAACACTTCCTGATGGCAAAACAGTTGAAGCTAGTGCCTGGAAAACTACGCCCTATGATGTGGCCAAAGGAATTAGGTGAGTACTTATAGTGGTTTACTTGCAACTGCAAACTTTTTCATTTAAATAAAGTTTTATAATATTAAAAGTATTACAATATGTAATACATATAATTTTCCTTGAGCTTCTATTTTTTATTGCAAGACATAATGGAATCAATCCTAATTATTACTAATATTGAAATAGATTGGATTTTGAAATTGCTTAATTAAGTTGGTTAAAAATAGAAGTTTGTTTATAAAACATATAACAAATATATTCTAAAAATGCTTGAGTTATAATTGAAGTCTTCAAAATGCCTTAAAAGGATTTTACAGGCTAAGATAATTACTTCTTTAAATAGTTAGACTTAGTATATATGTTTTCCTGGGTGTAACAATTAAAGAAGTATTTGACTCAGACTGTAAATTCCTTGCTATTTATAAACCCATGAACATGCATAGTTGGTCTATGTCAATTACATAGTGTTAGGTGATATTTTTTATTTGTTATCTCTATACTTGTTTGCACTATAGCATGAGCCATTATTTTAATAATACCCTATAACTTCTTTACCTGCTGGCAAGCGAGTTTTGGACGCACTAGTAAGTAATTATACAGGATGCAAAATTAAATGTTATACCCATTTTAATTATTAAAAATATATATATTATTAGTAAATGTATATATGTAATTTTACTGTAAAAGCAAATCTTTTACTAAAAAAATATGTTATTTTCTCAAATATTATTGGAAATCATGGTAAAGAAAACTGAAAATCCAACACAACTAACTCTCAAGTAAAACTGACACTTATGTTCTTTAGCTTCTGTTAAATCAATTTTGTTTAATTATGGTAATGAGTAGATTCAAAATTATTACATTCCAATATTTTTCTATAAAATAATAGAATTAATATTAATTTCAAATTTATTATAAATCTATTCAAATTTATTATAAATTTGAAATTTAATTCAGAATAATATAATCTTTTTACACTATGTGTTTGGGGATGGGCTTCTAATATTATATACCTATTTGATTGTAAAGTTAATTACACATAGTATTATCGCAGATTACATATTGTGTTATGATCTGTAACATTTAACTTGTTCATAATATTTTTAATGTCCATGATTGCAATCTGTTATGTGTTGTAAATAAAATGTAAATGATCTCAGTATTTACTAATAATTATTACACATAATACTGGTAACAAAGTGGGGCCATATAAATTTCATACCAAAAGCAGTACAAAAATAATATTTGTTTCTGTGTTCACTGTATTTTATGTCGCTCCTTGCTTTATTATCTGATTACATTAGCAAATTGTACTTAATAGTGGATTGATACCTTCCATAGCAAAGACCTGTGCTGAGGGTATATTAATAGGCTGATGATGAATAATGGTGACTATTGATCACTAGTCAGTCTATTTTGTACCGTGGGATTGATTTGATCGGTCCTAAGAAGTACATAAAAGAATGTAAGGTTTATTATTGAATGAACACATGGCCGCATGCAAGTTATCACAATAATAATAATATTTATTTGACCATAAATGATTGAAGTTACATACAAAGCTTTTCAAAAATATTTATATAGTGATTATTAAGTGGATAAATTTGACAGTTTTGTATAACCTGACATGGTTTTGTCTTGAGTCCCAGAACTTGTGGGTCAAGACTCGAAACAAAACAAAATTGTCGAAATTGACAAAAATTTCATGAAATTCGTGCTCGTTTTAGGGATTCATTCGGCTTATTTGAAAGTGTATTAAAATTTCTATATAAAATTATCTAGAAAATAATTTTATTACAACTAGATAACCCTCTATATTTTATTAAAAAACTATGTTGTAGATAAAGTCCATAAACATAAACTAAAATCAAATCCCAGGTGGTATGTGGATGATATAAAATCTTTATAAGTATATAATAAAATATTTTTAAAGACATTGAATTTCAAAAACTTCAATAATAATTTACTCATCTTAGAGTTGGTTCAAATGTTCATGAAAATTCTGCAAAACCTTCTCTTCACTTTGATAGAATTTTTAAGAACATTTTAAATTTAAAAAAAAATACGATGTAAGACAGTTATATTGGCGTTCGGGAGTTGCTGGTTGTCATTAGGAATTGTGTGATAGTCGATAATGATTACTGGTGGGGGGTTGCCTTCGCCTCGTGTCGTCGTTCATCTATAAACACCCTCATTGAGCGTTTTTAATTCTTTAGCCAAGGTCTGGCGGATTCCACGATCATAGCACGCGTCAATAACGAACTGTGGGACTTGGACCGACCGCTGGAAGCAGATTGCAAGCTAGAACTCCTGCGTTGGGATAACACCGATGCTCAGGCTGTATTCTGGCACTCCTCAGCTCATATGCTTGGTGAAGCTATGGAAAGGGTATGCTCAAATAATTGAAAAAAGTATTATATATTTATTCTTAATTTTAATGAATTATTTGAATTAATACTTTTCTGATTAATTTAGGTGTATGGAGGATGTTTATGCTATGGCCCACCTATAGAAGAAGGTTTTTACTATGACATGTATTATCCTGAGAAAGGAGTGAGTACTCAATATATTGATAACAATTACTGATTTGACTCAATTGATTAAGATTTGGGGTTTCTGATTCTGTTCTAATCACAGAACATAGAGAGAGAATAGAAGTAGTAAGTGGGCGGGGCAAGCGTCGCTGGCATATGCGCTTTTACTCATATGACGCCCTTTCCTCGGTTTTATATTTGTCAGTCGTTCGTCAATCGTCGAGTGGTGATTTTACTGATTTTTTCTATAAAAAATTCCGTTTTGTGCTATTATCACTTGCAAAAAGCAAAACAAAGTATACAATCTAACTAATGCAAACATTTCCTTTTACTGGTAAGTACAATTTTAGTGCTAAAATATAAAAAACGTAATAATTTGACACAATTTCAAATAAAATATACATTGTTTGCTCAAACCAACATTAATGTTTCTAACCCCGTTTCTAGACAGCAATGTAAATCATATTGTGCACTTTTGCAAAAATAGCGCTGTGCCTCCTGAAAATAAAAGATGAACTGATACTGAACAGATGAAATAATGAACTATTCAGGCACTTTTTTACGAAGATTCGGTTAATTATTTACACGCAGATAAATATTAAAAAATACTGATGTGCTATAAATATCTAAGTTACGAAGTATATCAACGTTTTATGAACAATATATAAATCAAACGAAACTTCGTGAAAAGCTACGAGTGTTGGCCTAATAGGTCTTATTAGAAACTGGTGAAACTGGATTTCACTTATTTTGCATTACTTATTGTTAGTTTTATATTAAACCAATAATAATAATGCCTTTCAAAACACTATAACTTTATTTTAATACCTTTGGGTTTTTTATCTATCCGTCAGCCATATTTGGCAAAGTGTACAGATTTAGACACAGATAATCATAGAGAGAACTAGAGGCAGTGTTGCCAATATAAATGTATGTATAATACTTAACACGCCTCCTTACATTTATATTGCAACAAACAAAATAACAAATACCTATGAAATCAGCCATTCAAAGCCAATTCTATATATTCTAAAAAAAAATATGTCTTGGCAACAAAAACTTAACTATTCTTAGATATTGTCTACCAATCTTGTGTTATATGTTTATATTCAACATTTCTCTAAATTTTACAAATTTCGCATTTCCTAAAGGTTTAGTTAACAGATCAGCACAATTATTTTCAGACTCTATTTTTACAACTTCAATAGCTTTTTCCTTTACACTTTCATGAATAAAATGGTATTGTACCTCTATATGTTTAGAATTTTTAGTAAAATTTCCATATTTAGCTATAACTACCGCACCAGAGTTATCTTCATATACTTTTACAGGTTTACAAATTTGTGTGAAAACATCATTTACTAAACATATCAAAAATTTTATTTCTTTAACAGCTTCTGAAAGAGCTATGTATTCGGCGAAAGTTGAGGAGGTAGCTATACAATTCTGTTTCTTAGATTTCCATAAAATTACATTTCCAAAAAATCTTATTACATAACCAGTAGTTGATTTCCTATCAATTATGTCTCCTGCCCAATCTGAATCTACAAAGCAATCAAGTATGTTTCCATCATGGTTTTTAAAGTATTTTAATTTCAGGCTTTTAGTTAAATATAGATATTTCAACACTCTAAGGGCATATTTATAATGAGTCTCATCACAACAATTTTGAAAGCGACTTAGATAATTTACACAGAAAGAAATATCAGACCTTGTTCCAGAACTAATGTATAACAAAGCTCCAATCAAATTTCTATATTTTAAATCTTCATTTAATTCACCTTTTTCTATTTTTAAATTTATTTCCATTGGTGTTTTGTACAATTTTGCATTTTCAATATTATAACGTTTTGCTAGTGACTCTATATAATGTTCTTGACTCAAAGTTAAAATGTTATCCTGTTCATAATTATACTCAATATCTATACCTATGTAGTTTTTAACTTTTCCTAAATCTTTCATTTTAAATTTATCTGATAATTTACATTTTATGTCAGCAATAGTGTTCTGGTCTTTACAACAAATCAAAAGATCATCTACAAATAATAAAATATACACAGCTGAACCATTATCCTTTTTGTAATACAAACAGTAGTCATATCTGGATCGTTTAAAACCAAGGCTTGTCAAAAAATCATTAAAACATTCGTACCATGCACGAGGGCTTTCCTTCAGACCATATAATGATTTATATAATAGGTAAACTTTATCAGTATCAGTTTCATATCCTATAGGCTGTTTTACATAAACTTCAGAAATAACTCTACCATTAAGAAAAGCTGTTTCTACATCCATCTGATTAATCTCTAAGGAATTTTGACAACAATATGACAATAATAATTTTAAGGTGGGCATCTTTGCTACAGGGGAGTAAACATCATCAACACAATCAGTTTGTTGGAAACCTCTAACCACTAACCTTGCCTTATATTCACTTTCACTTTTCTTCTTGTATACCCATTTCACATCTAATACCTTCTTGTCTTTGGGTGGTTTGTCGACTAATGTCCATGTTTTATTCTTCTCTAAACTTTCCATCTCTCGATCCATGGCTGCCTTCCACTTACTTGAGTCCTTGCAGGTAATCGCCTCCTTAAAAGTTTCTGGTGTTGTCGCTTCACAGTAGTTAGCAGTTATGCAATAGTATCCAAACTCATCATCAAATCGGAGTGGTGGTTGTCTTTTACGTTTGTTTAATTCCTGGGGGTTTTCAACTTTTATATCATTATTGCTCTTTACTCTATTTAAATTAGTCTCGTCTTCATGTTCTGTTATTTTCTTATTTCTATCTTTTTCTTCTTCTGCCTTAATGTCACTCTCATCTTCAAATCCACATATTTTCTCATCTTCTTCTATAATATTGCAGTGTCTGGCTGTAATAACTCTGTTGTTTATTAAGACTTTATATCCAGTATCAGTATAACCAAGTAAAATACCAGCTTCGGCTTTCTTGTCCCATTTAGACCTTCTCCGTTCTTCAGGAATTCTAACAAAAACTTTACTTCCATACATTTTTAAATTTTGGACAGATGGCTTCTTTTTGAAAAATATTTCGTACGGCGTTTTTCTCTCAATAGTATTAGTCAATGTTCTGTTCTTAAGATAAGCAGCTGTTTTAATTACTTCTGGCCAAAATCTTCTTTCTACCTTTGCTTCAGACAAAAGACATCTACTCATATCCATTAGTGTGCGATTGTATCTTTCTGCGGTTCCATTTAATTGATGAACATATGCTGGACAGGGTTTTATTATTATACCTTTCTCCTTTGCAAACTGAAAGACTCTTCCATTTATATATTCCTTCCCATTGTCACATCGCAATTCTTTTATCATTTTTCCTGTCAAGTTGTGTATTTCATTAACATATTGCACCAAGTAGTCATATACTTCATCCTTTGATCTGATGCAATAAACTTTGACTAATTTGCTGTAATCATCAATAAAACTCAAAAAATATTTTTCTGCATTATAACCTGTAGTCTGATGTGGCCCATTTAAATCTGTGTGAACAATATCCAATATCCCTTCTGCTTTTCGTCGATTATTATGAAATGGCAAATTATGCATTTTATTTTCAATACATATTGCACATTTTAAATATTCATATTCAATCTCTTTAGGTAATCCTTCTAATGATTCATTCTTGCACATAAATTCCAAATTTTTAAAATTAATATGTCCCATAGTACGGTGTAGTTTTTCCTTTACAGTCATATCATTTTTACTCATATTTGCTTCCAATATTTCTTCATACATGTAACTTTTCATTTTATACAGCCTTTCATCCTTAATTGCTATTGCCAAAAGCTTTCCATACTTATTGTAGATTTTTGATAATCTCCCACTTGAACTGATTGAGTGTTTGTCAGTAATTTTTGAATAACTCAATAAATTTGCCTTCATCTCTTTTACATAAAAAACATTTGTCAGAGTCACTTCAGATTTTTGTCCATAGACTAAGAAATAAGTTGTAATATCACCAATTTTTGTAGCTTCTAATAATGTTCCATCACCAATTTTAACTTTAACAGGGTTTTTTAAGGTCTCACAGGAATTGAAGTACTCATCAGTATTAATAATATGGTCTGTGCATCCACTATCTAATAACCAATTTATCTGACCTTTCTTTGACTTATCATTCTCCCTCATTGTACAAGTATTATTTGCAACGGTAGTATGAAAACTGTTACCAGGACTTCCTTGATTATGCTGATATTTTCCTGAGCTTTGTCCTTTGTTATTGTATGAACCACGTCCACGATAATTTGAAAAACCACGTCCTCTGTTATAGGAAAAATTATGTCCTCGACCACGGTTTACATATTCGGCTTTACAGTCTCTTCTCAGGTGGCCAGGTTTTCCACATCTAAAACAATTATACGATGGCTTGGCATCTACTTTGAAGGCATTTGATGTATCATTTGACGTTTCTCTCACATTTTCTGTATTTTTTAATTTTAGTTTACTTTTCAAATAGTCTACTGTTCTTTCACCCTCTGGTAAGACATCGATTAAATCACCTATGTAGTTGTAACTCACTGGTAGTGCTTTCAACATATAATTTAATTTTTCAGTTTCTGATACAGTAGCACCTGCATGTTTTAGCTCATTGACAGCTTTCTCAAAATCATCGAAAAACAGAGACACTTCGGAGTAATTTTTTAATTTCACACTTTCGAGGTTATGTCGACACACTATTTGCAACGCTGTCGATTTCTTCAAATACATCTCGTCGAATTTCTGTAATATTTCATATGCTGTATCAAGTTCACTTATATATTCCAACTGCTTGTTGGTTATTGCGCTGTATATGTAGTTTGTTGCTTGGACATCTCTGTCGTCCCACTCATCTTGGTCGGTTGCATTTTTCGCTCTCATTACAACATCCTTGCACCGTTTGAACTGCAGAAACTTGAGAATACGGATTTTCCAATTACTATAATCAGTGCCGTCGAATATTGGAATATTAATATCACTATTTTTAGTCGCCATTTTATTTTTCTTTGTTCTCGTTCGTTTTATAATTTCGTCACATTACATTCAATTTTTTTATTTACCAACTTTTAAACCACGCTCTGCTACCATGTTAGTTTTATATTAAACCAATAATAATAATGCCTTTCAAAACACTATAACTTTATTTTAATACCTTTGGGTTTTTTATCTATCCGTCAGCCATATTTGGCAAAGTGTACAGATTTAGACACAGATAATCATAGAGAGAACTAGAGGCAGTGTTGCCAATATAAATGTATGTATAATACTTAACACTTATATTTCAATTTCCCTAATAACTTTACAACGGATTGCCCTGCTTACATAATTTATTTTGTCCTATCCGTTTTAGACCTAAACCTATCAAGTGAATTTCAAAACAACATATTATCTATACAAACAAAAAATCATGTTTTCAACTAACGTAATATTGTTGGTGGTGTGAATTTAATTTACAAAATTATTTTATAGGCGTTAATTTAATTTACTTTATTATGCTGATTCATAATCGGAAACCATTATTATAGAAATCGAGTTAAGATAGCCACTTTAAAGAACCGCCCACAGAACAGCTTTTATCAGTTTTTTTGTTGCTTCATATTTGCACATAAGTTTATAAACGCATGTCTCAAACGGATGTGACTTTATATGTAGATTGACGTTTGTACGTACTTATCGCTTTTGTGTCTGTCTTCAAACTTTTTTGTCACGGCTTTCAAACTCATACTTGACCAGCAATTCCTTATTGTCCAGTCGTTGCAATTAAAAATGTAGGTACTATTATTATTACAGTTATAAAACTTAGAATAATAAAGTAAAACAAACATGGCTATGATCAATTTATTATTGTAATGATCATATTAGTTATTATGAAATGAAATGAAAATATCTTTATTCAAGTAGGCTATTACAAGCACTTTTGAATCATCCAAATTTTTGTTTTCCCCTACCACTTGTTCAGGACGTCTTTAAGCTGACAAGAAGAACAAGCGAAAGAAACTTACCAGCCCTATGATATTTACATAAATCATGTCATTTCATATCTTATCACAATAATAAATACAACTTTCAAAGTCTGTAGGACATAGGTTGAACATATAATTAGTCTTTATAGAACAAAGCGATGGCTATTCATTCCATGCATTGCAATTCTTAAAATAATCATCAACTTTATAATAGCCTTTACTCATAAGTATGTTCATTACATGAATTTTAAATTTATTTATGGGTAGGTCAACTACATTTTGTGGAACTTTATTGAACATAGCAATGTAAATGCATTGATCCTCTGGTTTTCTGAAGTCTGAAGCTTGGAACGGCAAGTTTATTTTTATTTCTTGTGTTATGATTATGAACACTACTTTTTTTTGTGAAGGAATCGTAATGTTTTCTTGCGTAGATAATATTTTCATTGATGTATTGAAAGGCAACAGTCAAAATATTTATTTCTTTAAATATTTCTCTGAGATATATTCTCTAGACCGTAAATTATATATAGCATGGACAGCTCTCTTTTGTAGAATAAAAATATCTTGAATGCTAGCCGCAGAACCCCACAACAATAGATTATACGTCATTACACTATGAAAATAACTAAAATATACCAATCCTGCCGTTTCAACATTTGTCAAGAGTCTAAATTGCTTAACAGCAAATGCTGCAGAACTCAGTCTACTTGACAAATTATCAATATGAGGATCCCATTGCAGTCGGGAATCTAGTGTAATACCAAGGAACTTTGTCGATTTCACCAACTCAACTTTTTCACTATTTACGTTTATAAGTGTATTAATATGCCTCACATTAGGTAATGCAACCTTTATGTATTTCATTTTATTTGAATTAAGCTTTAAATAATTACTATCAAGTCACTGTAGAACTGAATTACATTTTACTGTTTCATAACAAAATTTAAACCTCTTATTTCATCAACTACTATTATGTCACATCACTAATATGCACAATCGGAATGATACCAGTAAGAAAAAATTACAAATTAGGCTTATTGTAATTAATACAAAAATTCTGTTGGTTTCTTAATTTTTGTTTTTTTTACACTTTCCCTCGCTTAATTATATTACTCCACAGACATATGATAGAGTTTATCATTAAGTTTTCTTAGTTTTTGTACTGCGTTTTTTAAAAGAAGTTATATAGGGAAAAGCGTTATTTTTTAATATTCACTTGGTTACAGCAAAATCTAATCTTAATAGTTCGCACATAAAATGATGTCCTCAATTTTTTAAAATGTGCATAATCTTAAAATATTTTTTCCCTTCTGGTATCCCCGTATATAGCCACGTGACAGTTCAACATTCATGTTAAAGTAAATTATTTATTATCACGTTGAATTAGAGTTTGTTTTTAATCGTGTGATTTCTTAGCTTAGTATCTTTTTGGGATTCTGTTTATGTTATCACGAACGTATCGCGTGGCAGTTTTTCATGTAGTGAACAAAATGATCATTTCATTTAATCTGTATTTGTGTGCGGAGAGGCGACACTCGGTTCCCATACTAAATCAATATCATTATACTTCTATTCTCTCTCTATGTTCTGTGGTTCTAATGATACAACAAATACATTATTGAACATTTTGTATTTATTTTGAATACACCTTTTCACACTAATTAAAATATTCCCGACATTTACATTTCGAGCCAAGATGATTTGATAAATTAGAGATGTTTTAGTTTTATTTACATTATATTCAATATGTTTTTAGATATCCACCACGGATTATCCTGTTCTGGAGAACTTAGTTAAAAAAATAGCAAAGGAAAAGCAGCCATTTGAACGATTGGAGCTAACTAAAGAACAACTGCTTGAAATGTTTGACTACAATCCTTTCAAAGTGCGCATTCTCAAAGAAAAAGTTAACACTCCCACTACTACCGTCTACAGGTTAGTTTATTTATGAGTACCTTCTAGTGGTCGGAAACCACCATTACTTTGTATTACTATGTATACTTTTACCGAAATGATTTTGGACCATAATCTTTGTACGTAATTAAGATTATCTTAAAAGAACTTCTATATAAAAGTAACAAAATCTTTAATTTTGTGTATTTTTTTTGTAATAAAATTTAATTTTTAAGTATTAATATAATAAATATTATTGTATTGCACTTCTTCTACATATAACTGTGCCAAATTTTATAATCTTCTGCGCAATTTTCATAAAAAAATAGCAGTCCATAGTTTTTGGTTTACATAATAATTAAAACAATTAATTGAAAAAAAAAGAAACAACTGTTCTAACAGACGGTTTTAGCTAATATTTACTGAAGAGTGTACTGAATGTCTTGTTTGTATTAAAAAATAATTACTTTGCCACTTTTTCATTAGATCAGTTGTTAAAATTGAGTTTAAACAAAAGTTTATTTAAAAAATTGCATAGAAAAAAGTTCACATTAAAAATAGTTCCTCTTATTCATATTTTCTGTGCGAGTTCTTTTCCTAAACATCTTTTGACAGAATAAAATTTAATTTTTCAACTATCTCAAGTGCTTACCGGCTTCCTTATGTAGTCAAATATTGCAAATATTAATCGTTGTTCACAGATGTGGACCACTCATAGATCTGTGCAGAGGACCTCACGTGAGGCACACGGGAAAAGTGAAGGCTTTAAAAGTCACTAAGGTACAGTAACATATGTGTCTTACTTATCGAAATGAATGTTGTACAAAGTAGTTTTGGTTGTAAGACGATAATTTAGGCAGGATTACTGTTTCAATTTAGTATAAAATTAAGTCTCATGAATATTGCAAGTACTCATGTGGACATTGATATATTGTTTTGTCACAATGTTAATAAAATTCAAAGGAATTGGATTTTTTAATTAAAAAATAGAAATCAACTCTATCGTATGAAAATAAACAAAGAGTATTCTATACAGAGTTCTTCAACATACTGGGAGGGTAAGGCGGACGCGGAGAGCTTACAGCGGGTATACGGGGTTTCTTTCCCTGAACCCAAGCAGCTTAAGGAGTGGGAACTTATACAGGAGGAAGCAGCCAAGAGGGATCATAGGAAGATAGGCAGGGTGAGGCTTGCACCATATTATAATCTTGAATTGCGGACGGTCTGATTAGACATACGAAAATAAATTACACGCTGTAAGATTGTATTCTTATAAGTATATTTCTTATTAATATATTTATGTTAAAGAAAAATACTTAAAAATTCACCAGTTAGTAGTAGTAGTAGTGGTAACATTTCACGATCGCACTCATTACATTTAGGAGCAAGAGTTGTTCTTCTTCCACGAGTTGTCTCCTGGCTCCTGCTTCTTCCAGCCACGCGGCGCCCACATATACAATACCCTAGTCAACTTTATTAGAGAGCAGTACAGGTAATATAACTATTTATATATATTATAAAACTACATTACAACTCTGCATACTAAATATTATCTCTGTGGTAACTGAGCAACTAATTTAGCACAACTAACTAGACCAGCGACAATATGTACATTTTCATCATTCTCTTTGTTGCATATAGCCAATGGTCATACAAATAAAAAAAAAATTATTCCAACATTTTTAAATATAATGTTATTGTTCACCAAACACTCCGATTTGACTTCTGAATAAGTAGGTATTATTACATGCATAATAATTTGAATACAATGCTATGGAAACATTCACAAAATATCTAAGTGATTTTAAAGCTAAAATAAATAACTCCACCTACATATTATGATTATTTGTTTTGCTTTAAAATCACTTATAATATTTTGTATATGTTTCCATTTAAAATAATTGTAATAACATAGTGAAATAATTCTAAATTATGTTTTAATTCTTAATGTGTTGTATAATAATTTGTTTATAAAATGTATAGGGTTCGCGGCTTCCAGGAGGTAGTGACTCCAAACATGTATAACTCCAAGTTATGGCAGATGTCTGGCCATTGGGCTCACTATGCAGACAATATGTTCAGCTTTGATGTTGAGAAGGAGACCTTCGCACTTAAACCGATGAACTGTCCGGGACACTGGTAATTATTATAATGCTATTTTTATATTTCTATCTTTAGAACCTTTTTTTATATTAAGTTAATATTAAATACCAACTAAACCAAATTCATAGATATATTCCCAATCTATTCAAGTTTAAAATGCATAACATATTATATAACTATGTGGATGTTTTTATTCCTAAAATGCGTGAAATAAAAACTGATGGACGAAACATCGGGTAATGATTGTACACGTACCCGAAAAGTTTCTCCCGACTCGTCGATACTTCGGGTAACGATTGTACGTGTACATCGTATCCGTAACATTTCTCCCAGGTCGTTGAAATTTTGCGTGATGATTGTAGACCAGTTTATTTTAGTTTAGGTAACCAACCAACAAAATACGAACGAATTTAATTTACCAGTCAATGTATGAAGGCTTATGATAATTTGTTACGTTAACATACCATTTAAATTTAAATAAGTGAACAAACAGATGTTGATGTCACAGCATTTTACAATTTTACTTAGTATTCAGTACTAGTATTTATCGTAAAAGGAAACACAAAAGCTGCAAGTCAATTAAAATTTCGATGTATTATTGAAACGATAGTTCCAATCCTCGCTTATCTGCCCAGCCCTGCGATTCTGTAAAACTCCAAATACGAATTCGAATTCTATCAGGTGTCCGAATTAACTTAAAAAAGAGGCATACGCTCAACCTTGAATAGGGTCGCTCGAGGAATGAATGAGGAATGGAATAAAAGAAAGAAAAGGAATGAAGAATGAAAGGCTAGATAAAGAGATAGAACTGGAATGAAAGAGAAGGTAGCTATAAACAAAGGCCTGCTAAAAAGTGGGGTGCAGCGTAGGGCTCGGCCAAATATTGTAGGCCGGGCATTATAAAATAAAAAATAAAAAAAAACCTTGAATAGGGATGATGACTAATTTTTGTTTGTTTGTCCGTCAGATAGAGTGTTAAAAAATATTAAACACGTATTTTTTTCTTTTTTCGTAATCATAAAATTACGACGTTACATGGAGTTGAAATTTCGCATGACGTCACGTTAGGGTACGTTTTCTACTCAACTGTGACGTAGTGAGCCCCCACTCCTCAACTTTAATGCCTATTATCTAAGCTATTTCTTGTTAAATTGAAGTAAAAAAAAATATGTATCTAATATTTTTCTATTATCTAACTGACGGACTAAATAGACCTGCATTTTTTTTACCCAGTCATCATCCCTATTGGTCACAACGTTTCGTGGCATAAGTGAAGTGAGTTTCGAAATTATATTCAGAATATAATTTCTGAGATACGTGTATTCAATGAATTTTGTTTTGTATTTTTATATATATATAAAAAAAAATGGAATCAATAGAATTTCTACACAAAATAACGTGAATTCGGACACATGAGTGAATTCGAATTCGGGTCTAGATTTTTGCACAATCGCAGAGCTGATTAGAAAATGCGTTTATCATAAAAAAAGGCACGTATTAAAACATTATGTGTGGGCACAGTTATATTATTTTTTTGGGAACAGTGAACACGCCCATTATAGAAATAATAAGATAAATAGCACGCAATGGCGTCAAAATTACGGCGTAGTCACACACACTCACATAGATATACGATGCAATGCAACTAAGATTGTATCTACAGTGCATTGTCACAATGATATATCTAATACCAATAATTCTTTCGACACGTAATATGGTTCCGTTTCAAAATACAAACTGCTTTTTAATTTTAGTTATTGTTATGATACTTACATGTTATGAGTTTCGGCTAGCATAGTCCTGTATTAAGCCGGCATTGTCTGTATTATTTCCTTTCACCTGGACAACTAAATCACTTTATGAGCAATTTCTAGAGCAGGTGGTCGCATAATAGTTTTTTTGCGAGGAAATAAAACAAATATATAGGTTAATAAAACGAAGTATGTATTAAAGGTAAAAATTATTTGTTAAAATTAAACATGATATTTGAACATGTTTTCGTGTCATACTTTTTTTTTGTAAATATTCGTTCTAGGCTCCTTGAAATACTTTTGCCTCTAAAGTTTGACATATTTTCATCAATTTTTTTTTAATTTCTTTGGTGCACGGCCAAAAAAAAAAATACTTTAAAGCACGTGTGCAGTAAAGGATTTCAGTACATTTTTATTTAACACGTGTTTAAAGACACACTTTCGGTGTTTGCAATGGATTAAAAATATAGCGCTTTATGAGCAACCGCATTGAAAATATCTTTGTTTATATCATAACGCTTGTCGCGTGTTTCGCGTGCAGCGTGATGTTCGACCACCGCAGCCGGTCGTGGCGCGAGCTGCCGCTGCGTCTGGCGGACTTCGGCGTGCTGCACCGCAACGAGCTCAGCGGCGCGCTCTCCGGCCTCACGCGCGTGCGCCGCTTCCAGCAGGACGACGCGCATATATTCTGCACCCCGCAACAGATACACGCCGAGATGGTGAGTGGTCGTTCTCCGTTCTTTTCCTGTATTGTGGGGAAAATGCTTTATGCGTACCCTAGCATCTGAGAGCGACGAGGTTGTGTTGGACTCTCTGCTGTGGGTCCAGTAAGTGATCGTTCTCCGTTCTTTTCGTGTATTGTGGCGAAAATGCTTTATGTATACCCCAGTCGGAATCTCCGCTTTAATCCCATCTAGCAGTATTGGCTCATTGAATATACAGAGGTCTACCCACTAAAATTTTCTCAGAGCGGATGAGACCAGCACGCGTAGCATGACGAACTCGACAACGTTTTATCTACACTCAAATGTCACTTTTCTCGGGTTCGCCCATACTATATCTCACTCTCGACCCGAGAAGGTGACATTCGGGTGTAGACAAAGCGTTTCTCGAATTTGTCATGCTACACGTGCTGGAAAGTTGTAGCTGAGTCACTGGGATAATCTTAGTCTGTCCTTACAATCGTAAGCTCAGTCACGTTATATTAGGTAATACGCCACGGTTTGCTAAATTTACGTACACATGCAGTTGTACGTTTTTTTAACCGTGATTACGATAATGATACTGGAAATCTTTCTCCTGATGACGATTTTGAGATTAATAATTGACGTGTTGACGTTAAATTACAACTACTTCTATGTCGTGATACCCGTGGCACTTCATTAGAACTAAATTGTATCTCATTTTAAACTTATAAAAAAATATTTGTAATTAATCCATAATTTCTAACACTGTCGTGGTAAGTAAACTCGCTCTTCGATTGTACGATGATAACAACGAGTGAACATTCTCGTTTCCAGATGGGTTGTCTACAGTTCCTAGAGTGCGTGTACTCGACCTTCGGGTTCACGTTCCAACTGAAGCTGTCTACTCGACCAGAGAAATACCTCGGGGATCTGGACACCTGGAACCAAGCGGAGAAGGTGAGTGAACGCAGAAGTCTGAGCTACTTTAGGTACTTGCGACATATTCTCAAAATATGGATATTATGTTTGTTAAATTTTGTTAACAATGCTATATTCGTGTCAGGTACAGACAACATTCGAACCTAAAAGCCTTTTTAAACTGCAAATCCCACAATTTAGAAGTTGCATCTTCACCAGTGTTATTTTTTTACTCAACATTAACACTGTCAAATTGATCAGTTGAATAATAAACTGTCTTATAATAATTACAAAAAATAATTATTTTTGTCGCGTTCTTACAGGCGCTTCAAGAATCTCTGAACGAGTTCGGTCGTCCGTGGCAACTGAACCCCGGTGATGGTGCTTTTTACGGCCCCAAGATCGACATCACCATACAGGACGCTCTGCGACGCAACCATCAGTGCGCCACCATACAGCTGGATTTCCAGCTGCCCGAGCGGTTCAACCTTACCTATGTTAGGTAACTCTAACTTTATATTTCTGAACTGTGAATTTTTTTTTCATAATACACAGTATAAATAAATCATTCTTGTTAAATTTTCTAGATTAAGCGTAGGTCGTGCTGTATTCCGTACATTCAATGTCATACGACGTATATGACGAAGATGTATTTTGGAATTGTAGTCAACACATATCTGACGTTATCTTTCTCCAGTTACAGAACTTTAGAACTTACAAATATATGATATATCATTCAATCTTGCACACTCGACGTATATTGATGATTTGTCGCATATTATCTATTAACGAATACTTCCGTGAGATTCTCAACGGATCTTCTATCTGATATGTGCCGTACCCTAATAATGTACCCTAAAGGTCTAAATGCTACTCTAAATAAAAAATTCTAGGTATAGTGTTTTTTCTGTACTATATCCAAACGCACATTCATTAGATGATAGTACGCGTACAGCGCTTTCAAGATGTTGTCTTTGTGTCAGTAGAAACTGCATCAGATGATCGTACGCGTACAGCGCTTTCAAGAGGTTGCTTCTGTATCAGTAGAAACTTCATAAGATGATTTTACGTGTACAAAGCTTTCAAGAGGTTGCACCTGATTCAGTAGAAAGTTCATTATAGTATGACCGTTTAAATGAGTCCTCGCCCGCGCGGTACAGGGGCGCGGGGTATGACGACAAAGGGGACCGAGAGAGGTGCGGGCGGCGGGCGCATTTTTGTTTTACCTCATTTCGATCGTTACGCGAGTAGCGAACACATGTGCTGATTTTTGCGGAGGCTTTGTGAGAGATATACTTGAGATTACATTCTCAAGATGAATCGCAATATTTTCGGACATAAGGTTAATAGTCAGTGCAAGCAAATGGCTTTTAAGGTTTACGAATACTTTAGAAAAAAAAAATTGGACCCAAATTCTGTTGAATATCAACAAGACATACCTTTAAATAAAACCGTAGCAGAAGTTACTGGGCTATCCGAAAAGACTGTATCTAGAATTGTACAGCAAGGGAAATAATTGAAAGACAACGAAAGATTCACCTCACCGAGAAAACCGAAACAAGTTCGCAGAAAAAGAGTGGAAATAGACGATTTCACAAAAGGAGTGGTAAGAAGAAAAGTGACTCAGTTTGATAATTCTTGTATTTAATAAATAGTACAAAAGTTTATTACTAAATATTTTATTTAGTTACCTACACAAGTTACATTTTCTTTCTTTTAAATTTTATGTAATCATCAATTGATTTTCAAATAAAAAAATCACAATTTGTTCACCGTTATCCACTATGAAGTCACATATCTTAGGATCTGTCTAGAGTGCATTTCGTCTCATGCGCGCGCGCCTGCCGCCCGCCTCTCTCTCGGTCCCCTTTGTCGTCATACCCCGCGCCCCTGTACCGCGCGGGCGAGGACTCATTTAAACGGTCATACTATAGATGATTGTATGCGTATAGCATTCTCGAGAAATTGTTTTAGTTCAGTAGAAAGTCCCAGATGATTTTACGCGTATAGCGTTCTCGCGAGGTTGTAACGGGTTCAGTAGTAACTTTAACAGGTGGTTGTACGCCTTCAGTAGAAACTTCATCAGATTGTACGCGTACAACGCTCACGAGAGGTTGCTCCTGGTTCGAGAGAAGCTCGATTAAAAAAATCTTTTTATGGCTCGAATTTTGGAACATCAATGAATTGATAAAATACGTTAGAAGTAATAATGGATTTCTTAAAATATAGTAATCCTTCTTTGAATGGAGATAAGGGTTAGGGGTATTTTTTCTTTCTATTATAATTTGGGTTTTCAATGAACTTACCAAGTGGGTACAATATTTTATTTCCGTTTAGCGAAAGCGGTGACCGGAAGCGTCCTGTTATAATCCACCGCGCGGTTTTGGGCTCAGTGGAGCGGATGGTGGCGGTGCTCACCGAGTCGTACGCGGGCAAGTGGCCGCTGTGGCTCTCACCGCGGCAAGTCTGCATAGTGCCCGTTGCTCCCAACAACGATACATACGCCCTTACGGTGAGATAACACACGCCCATATTACACTATACTCCTACACTCAATCCCGTACCTATCTCTCTCTCTTAGTCGCTCCGCAGTTATCTTTATATCACTCTCCCCACATCTATATCTCTCTCTAGTACCACAACTATATCTCTCATTAGCTCCGCACTCATATCTCCCTCACACGTCTCACACCCATATCTCTCTTACCCGCTCTGCACATATTTTTCTCTCTTGCCCCCACACATATCTCTCTTTCATTCGTTCAGCACTTCTCATTCGTTCCGAACCTATCTCTCTCTCACACTCGCCCACACATATCTCTATCCCTGCTTCTCACTAGCTATACACTTCTCACCCGAGTTCATTAAATGACAACCCTGCTAATAGCTGGTCGCTAGTTTCATGTGCGATAGTGTGTTATGATCGTCACGTATAATGCAGGTGCGGGATCAGTTGTACGCGGCGGGATTCATGTGCGAGGCGGACACGGACGCGGGCGATACGCTCAACAAGAAAGTACGCAACGCACAACTAGCGCAATTTAACTATATACTGGGTGAGTACACGATTTAACATATGAGGACTGGGGTCTAATTGTCTAATTTAAAATGTATCGCAATCCTTTGAAATAATGGAGAAATTTTAAACTAAAGAGTTTTATTCTAAATTCAATCACCATGTTCCTCGACTATTCTAAACATTCGTTCCAAGAGCGATTGAGTCTTTAAAATTTACACAATTTCATAAATCGCTTTAACTTCGAGAAGGATTGCGATAGATTTCAAAATTAGATACTTAATAATAATAATTAGCCCTTTGGTTTGAAAAACATTATAATTTTCAGGACACGATTAATTTTTAATATTGTCTTTGTTATAAATTCGAAGAAGATACCACAACGTTAAAGACGCTGTGGTCAGAATCTTCCTAGTCAGATTTCTTTTAGAGTTTTAGATATTAAACTTTCTATTTATTTATTAATTATGATATGTAATATTGTCTAGTGGTCGGTGAGCGGGAGATGAGTTCTGGTACAGTGAATGTCCGCACACGTGACAACAAAGTCCACGGCGAGATGTCCATACAGGGACTGATCGATCATCTCAACAAGCAAGTCAAAGAAAAGACCCTCTCTGAAGATAGTCAGTTACTCAAGTAGTACTTAAAACGTGACATTTTCTTAACAGGACGCGGCAACATGATTTTTACCTCGAGAGTATTATGAAGCGGACTACCCTTTTTTAAATACATAACTAATACAATAGTTATTTAATAAATAAAGAAATAATAACAAAAAAAGAGGTTGCTTGTATTTATATAAGTTGTTGTAACATTTTATTTACATCAGGTTATCGGAATTGTTATTTATCCCTTACTTTTTCGCACTTTCGAATTATTCACATTGTTTTTTTAGATCCAAAATATAACGTAGATAAAGACTCAAAAATATATGACTTGTGAATTAATGAAAATATATAATGAGTTTTATATCTTTAAACATAAGGTTTAAAATTCAACACATTAGGTGCCTGCCTCGTCTCACTGGGCAATGACAAAGCGCTATTTAAATCATGCGAATCTATGGTCATTTTTTATGGTTCGATATTATTACAACTTTAACGAGTCACCATGTTGTGTGCGTCCTAATATACATATTGAATGAATATTTGAAATCTTATTTAGTTTTCTTTGAAGTAGTAATTTATTTTCTTTAGTGACTTTTCCAATCTACAAGATGAAAATTTTCTTGCATTTGAATGTAATTTTAAGATTCAAATTAAGGCATTTATTTGATGCTTTTTATTATTTAAGTCGCCTAATGTGAAATTGGATTCTGGACCAAGAGCTTCTTTAGAAGAGTAGTATTATCGATGAATTTTGTACAGTTGACAGCACGTCAGATTACTAAAGAAAGTCGATTTCACGCATAGATTTAGGCCTTAGTGTGTTGTTAGTTAACTTCAAAATTGATTGCAGAAAATTGACTTTTTGTTGTAATCCTGATGTTTGTTGCGATGCTGTGTGTAAACGAAACCTTGTATTGTTCCTGTTCAACCACTTATAACCAATATTTATTCTTTTAAAGATAAAATTAAAGTTATGAAACTAAAAGACAGACTTTTACAAAAACAAACCTTAAAGGTTTTTACAAAAAGTATTTTATTTCAACTATTGTTGCAGGGATATTTTTTAAATTTTATTTATAACATGTAGACTGTTTTGGGTTCTCTAAATAAATGTCTATTCTGAAAATTGATTATTTTTATTTAATAACGCATAGTATACTTATATAAGGTGTAATATTATTGTAGGGTAGAATTAGTTAAGTATATTGAAAAATTATTACTATGGGAGTAACACTGAATTCACGAAAGAATTATAATCGGCTTTTTCACACTGTCAACAGCTGATTATTTTTTAGTGAATTTAGTGTTGCTCCCATAGTAAAAGTTGTTCAGTGTATTTAACTAATTCTACCCTACGAAGTCCTAGGATATTATTAAACCTTAAATTTTTCTTTTGATTTCTACACAATAAGGTTACTTTTTAATAGTATTTTTTTCTCTTAATCTAAATATAATATTCAGTGTTGAATCTCATCTTCATTATTCCATTCTTCGTAAACTTTTACTGAAAAGATACATAGTATTAAATATATACTTATATATTATATTTGATCAATTCTGCATTCACAATGCTATACTGGAAAATATTCTTAGTGAAAAATGCTTAAAAATCCATTAAAAATTTTTCCCTGGCACTGAGATGGGATTCGAACCCATGACCTGTCGCAATCCGGGCGTCTACTCTAACAATTGGGCTACCCAGGACTTAACAGACGAATTTTTCAAGCACTTGATTTTTTCGCTATTACAGAGCGTATTTGCATCAATGTTCAGGCAATCTACTCAAATAGCCGAAAAAAAATTTAACTTGATAAAGATGAAAAATTATATTAATTATTATATTTGATCAATTTTGTATTCACAATACTATATTGGAATATATTCTACATCTACATCAACGTTAAACTGAAGCAATTTTGTCAATAAAATTGAGACTGCATCAGTATCAATACGGGGCTGAGGTGATTAGTACCTGCGACTGACGGCGTGTTCCAGTAGCAGTGCGACGAGTGCGGCACATGTACCGTACAGCATCAGTATCAGTACAGGGCTAAGGTCCCGCAGGCCCGCGCTAGTGAAGGCGGCTCCGCCCCGCCCCACCCCGCACAGCGGACGATGCACGTGAGACCTGCCCACCACCGCGCTCTGTATACCCGACTCGCGGATCTGTTTGAATCTAATGAAATGTTAAAGACAAACTGCATTCATATTCTATATGTTAAGATTATTAAAATTTAACAAATCAAAATTCATAATAAAACAAACAGAAAATCAAAATTCATATTAAAGCAGTGACAATATATTTTTTTTAAGTGTGGCAACCAGTGGCAACTATAATGTAGTACCAAAAACGCATCTTATAGGGTATTCTTTCTTACCCTGTTCTACTCCGTTTGAAATAATAATTGTAACTGATTGATTTAATGTAAAGAGAAATTTTAACAAATATTTCGAAAAAAATAAGTTTTGTTGCACTAAAATAAAAAAATAAAATACTAAAACTTTTTTATACCCGCGAAAACGCTGTCCGTAATATTTATGACGTCACATATTAACAAAAGTTTAAAATGTCTGTAAAAATATTTCGTTAAGGTGGATTGCATGAACATTGATGAAATTGATTATAAAAAACAAAACAACCCGAAAACAAAACAAAGAAGTGAAAAAATATATAATTAATTGAAATAAAAAGAAAAAACAAGCCCATTAGTTTGGAATGTTATTAAGTATTACTGAATAACTGTTCCATTGAAATAGTTTTAAAATCTATACACACATAAAACATATCATAAATTCAAAAGCAGTATAGAAGGATTAACAGTTAGGACTCTAGATTATTCAGTTTTTTTTTATACTTAAATTTTTATTTTACAAATTTCGTAACCTTGTCGTTTCAATTTTAAATTGTGAGGATTATTAACAAACTTGCGGTAGTCTAAACTACAGATTATTAGTACCTCTAGAGACCTCACTCGGTAACATATGCTTGATTTTTACCAAAAATTCACGAACTTAAGTCAACCACAGCTTGGTCCAAAGTAGTTCTTGACAATTAAAAGCTTAATAATTTGCGAACGGCTCACTATATCTAAAACGGTCTTTGAGCACTTCTAATATTTTTAAAGACCTATCCAGCAATATCCCACACTATTGGAAAATCGAAAAAATAAAAAATTATCCCCACTTTACATGTAGGGGAGATACCCTAAAAAAAGAATTTTGGTTACTGTTATGAGTTTAGTGACACTCGCAAGGTTAAGACTTGATTGATGTATAAATCATCAAAGTTGGCCAAGCCGTTTGGTCTCTACAATGCCATATAAGAACAAACATAGACACATAGACTTATAAACACATTGACCTCCTTTGCGTTGCGCAGTCGAGTAAAAACAGCGCTGTAGTAGCGAAAAAGTAACAAGTGCTTGAAGAATTCATCAGTCCTAATAGGTCCTGGGGAGCTCAGTGGTCAGAGCAGTCGCTCGGATTGTGAATGATCATGGGTTCGAGAGCCTTCTCAGAGTGTCAGGGACAAAGTGGATTTTTTAAGCTTTTTTCATTAGGAATAGATACAAATATGCTAAGAATAGCCATCCAGGAATTTGATATATAATTAATGACTAATCTGACAGTTGTGGCCACAGTGACGTCACACAATGGCGGGAGGTGTTTCAAGTCACGTCACACACAGACAAAAAAACACGTTTTTTAATTTTAAGATAATAAGATAATCGTGCGATTTTAACACAAAATTAGAATCTTAAATAACTATGAAAATTACAATATATATATATATAGCAATTTTGTGACTTATTTTTCTCTACTAAAACTACCCATTTTGTTTTATATGGGGAGCCCCCGTGAAACTTAGTAATTGAGTGTCATACAGTCGAGTGACGTAATTACTTAAGTAAAAGAAATAACTTGAGATTAAAAGGTTTTTAACAAAAAAAGAAAAACAAGAATTTGAATGAAGTAAGATCTCTCAGTAATTAGAATATTAATGTTTTTAGATATTAACAGTTCTTACATCATTCAGAATCTCGTCTATTGTTCAAAAATATTTGCTTAAGATATTACATTTTCTCGAGTAAATTAAATTAAATTTCTTCTCTCGACTATAGATATGAAATTTAGTATTTGTTGTGATAACACTGTTACTGAAAACAGAAAGCATTTATACTATGATATATTTTCAAGTTCCTATTACACTTCATAAAAACCGAAGCTTTTACATTCTTACGTGACTCGCAGCAGTTCCAAATATGGAGAGTCTTTCTTAACAGGGATAAAGGGATCGAACCCGTTGAGAAAGTCCACCTCTTGTAAGTCGCACTTCTCGTTTTCCATAAAGGTCTCTTCGATTCGTCGGTAGACCGGCTCTACTATTGAATGGAACGCGAATAGACCCTGGATGCATAAAAATATTAATGAAATAAGGAATATCCATGTTATTTTTTATAATGTCAAATTAAATAAACTGTTTTACCAATAGCATGGATTAATGAAAAATATAGATCAAAATTTATCAAATATAATGATTAGAACAAATTATCTTCTTTATCGTAAGTTTAAATATTTGTAAAAATATTTCTTTCGGCTGCTTGGGTAGATTGCCTGAACATTTGATGAAAATATGTTCTGTAGTAGCGAAAAAGTAAGAAGTGCTTGAAAATTCGTCGGTCCTGTTAGGTCCTGGGTGGTTCAGTGGTTAGAGCAATCGCCCGGATTAGTCATCTCAGAGCACCAGGGACAAAGTGGATTTTCAAGCATTTTTCACTAAAAATATTTCCAGTATAGCATTGGGAATGCAAAATTGATCAAATATAATATATAAGTAAATATTTATTACTACATCTATATTATGAGATGCAACATTAAAGATTTTATTCAGATTGTTAAGAGAGAAAAATACTAATAAGAAGTAAGTTTACCTTATAAAAAATGCATTTTTTGTCAAGGAAATTAATAATAAAAATCATTATAAAATGTTTTAGAAACTTTTCCTTATTACTAACCTGCCTTATTCTTTCGACTCCATCTTTGATGTCGTAGAATTGTCTCTTCCCTTTTTCTGGATCAATCTTTTTATAAATTTTCATCCGAACCGGGTCGTTATATTGCTAAAAGGTAATTAATTAGTTTCAATATTAGTGTAACTATGGCCAGTGTCTGACACACGAAAGCTGATCCTGGTTTTATTATAATGCCAGCATTTTTAGTTGTCTTATGAATCAATAGTCTTTCTGATGAAAGTTGACATACTAAAATGCACCTCACTAGATGACGACTCTCGCAAAGGTTGATTTTTGCAGGAAACGAATGGAAAAAAAGATAGTCATTTCCGTTCCTTTTAATTAACATATTAAAAAACTGAAATTTGCAAAGTTTGAACCTTAATTATCAATACAAATACGAAAAATTACAAATAGAATATGAGTTGTTTATTGAGTTTAGAAGATTAATTTAGGTACTTTTATAGATGGAAGAGTTGTAATGGATTATTTATAAAGTACCTAATTAAAGTATCAAAACCATTTTCTCTTACAACGTAGTATATATATCCTATATTTTTTAAATTGCTGTCTATATAATATTTAGAGGGCACAACACAACTATCAACTGTGTAGTGTAACAGCAAAGGTGGCAGTAATATGGTATGATAGCTAGTTGTAGCGATAGCTAGGTTTGGTGTTATATATCTAGTTAATAGACTCCATCTCATCTGTGGAAGAGTCCATGTTATTAAACATTAGATTATTCCATTTAGTCAGATACTACATAGGTACAAGTAACGAAGTAGTGTTACACTGAACACGAAGTGGTTGTAGTCGACGTCGTTGGCGGCTATTGTGATGGAGGAGTCTGCGAGCTGCGCCAGGTTACGTATAGAGTTAGAGGGAGCTTGAAGTAACACCACTATGTTGGCAGAATACGCCGCGTACAGTAACATCAGAGTAGCGAAAGATATCCACGCTGCCATTCGACCTGGGATAAATATAAAAAGGTCTGGGCTGCAACCGCCTAACTCTAGCCATGTTTACGTTATGGCGGTATTTCGTTTCATTTTACTACTTTGACATGTACTTTAGTAACGATAAAGAATGATTATTATGACTAGATAGCAGTATTATGAACTAAGTAATTTGTCTACCAAAAGACATGTCAAACAGTAACATAAAACAAATATCATCATAGTATCGCTAAGATATCGTATCCTATGGCTAGAATTAAGGCTATAGAAAGTGGTCCCACCCTTGGTCATCAATATATATCAATTTGTGAAATGTCAAAATAATAGAAGCTTGATCCCAGATAGCAATTTAAACTTGTTTCTGACTTGCAACAAGTTTGATACGTCAAAAAAGTAGCATTGCTTCAAGGTTGCCATGACAACTGCAAGTTTAAATCAAACATTCTCGTTTCAGAGTGACAAACTTGCACTACCTTTGATCAAAGGTAGTGCATGTGTACCTAGGAAAATTATTATTACTACTACACCGCAGCAGTTTTAATTAATCTTTTGATCATTCAAAACTTTTAGTCTAATCGCCTTTGGACCAAAAGTTTTGGCAAAAGCGACTTTCAACTTAGACCACAGCACAGAGCCTTGCCTAAGTGCCAAAGTCATTAATTGCATCGGTTGGTTTCGGATCCTATATTAAGATCACACGAAACGCCATATTACTTATACAATCTAACAATATAAACTGATACCGCGGTGCATTAAATGAACAGCGCCATCTAGATTGCTGACTTAGAACTATTCGGGCCCCTATGAAGATGATGGGTGTGTTACATATAAGTATCTTTGTCATAACAAGATGCAAACAATATTGTCGCAAACTTGAACATCATATTTAACATAACAATATTGCGGCGACATTGTCACAAACTCGCCTCGTCATATTTGACGCAGCAATTAAGAATCAAAGAAAATCAAACTTGCCCCAAGCTTCCATGCTATCTGGGATTGTACCTACTCACTCTGATTGCGGTTTCCTAGGATTTATAGGTATATTCATCAACGACTACCAACCCACATGGTTGCCTCGTGATGGGCTATGGACCGTTGTTCTTATATGGACCTATCCATAGTGAAGCAATAGGCTAATTATATTGAAATAAAAATGCAATCGCAAATTCTTACCTGAATATTTCTGTGGTTCTAGAACGCATCCTTGTTGACCAACTGCGCTCATAGTTAATAATAAAGCATCACCAAAGCTGCCGTTCAATTGCGTCGCACTCTACAATAACAAAATGTGTACCAAGGACCATAAACTAGCAAAATGTGTACCAAGGACCATAAGCCAGGAAGGGTCAAGTCAATGAAGTATTATTTTCCCTAGGAATTACAAAAACGATTGTTAAGACCTTGTCCAGAGGGACTGAATTAGCCATGAATCAAGATGCGATTTAATATTAAATGATGCCTAAGTTTCGTTTGTATTTTTGTCACTCTCGACCGATAGAGCAATGTTTAAAATTGCGTCTAATCGCGCGATTATGTTATGCCTTGTGGCCAGGACAACACCAAGCATTTATATACTCACACGATCAGTCATCGCGTGAGTTTTGTTAGGAAACTTTAAAGAGATTTGTATGTTTAATTGTACGATAAAATTGCATATTTGCTTTGCAGGAAGAATCCTCAACCTGTTGTCCTTAATTGTAAATCTCACCTTGGTGACAGTGTTCTCCCATTTGCTCTCCACGTATAAGGTAGCTGTAGATACAGCTGTACAAATAAGTATAGCGACCCAGACAGCGGTGGAGAATGGCAATGAGTATATGTTGGACACGTACGAGAGCGGTGGCTGACGGAACACAAACCTGACGCGGAACGGCGCCATCATGTCAGTGTAACTGACCACGTCCAAACGCTCCTTGTCCTTGACCAGGCAGTTGGTACCTGTTGTTAAATCATAGAACACATACGTCAGACGCATAGGTTTCCACAAAGTCCCTTTAAGGATCCTCGCGTGTCTATTTACTCTGAAACGAACGATTGTGGGTAGTTTGGAATTAACGTTTATCATGACGGCTTTAATAACATACGTCAGATGCATAGGTGATGATTTACAATATAGAGGCTTACCCAAGTCAGCTTTGCCAGTATGCAAGTCGTTAATCATACCGGACCATCGTCCGTTCTGCTTGTAGCCCCAGCGGTGGCTGAAGATGTATCTAGGGGTAGCGTTCAACATCTGGAACGCAAGCTTCACTCCCGTCCAACATATCTTCGGTATGGAGTCGTATTGAAGCTCTCTTGGATTGAAATCATTATTAAGCTAGTTCATCATAATCATCAGAAGCTTATTAATGAGTCACAGTTTTAATGTTTTCTTTAAAGACACATTAGATAATGAGCCATAATTCTGTCTACGATTGCTAAGGCTATACGTAAATTAATCTAAGGGTTCAACTGTTTTGTCAAAGATCGGTTATGGGATGGGCGACCACAAATTACTGTTTCAAATTCCTCCATGCTCCGGAAGTTATGCCAAGTTTTTGATCGTGGCTGGATCTATGTACTAGACTAGATTGTTAGTACTAAATCCGTTTTCCCTGTATAACAAACACACATAGGGAAGGCATTTAACTCTATAAATATCATAGTTAGATATCAATCTAAGCGACATTATGTCTCATTTTACTACTCTGACGTTTACTTTATTGTTAACAACGAACAAATGATAAAAAACCATGCATATATACGAACTAGCTTTTGCCCGCGACTTCGTCCGCGCGGTAAAGTTACTTTGAGCAGCATTTCTAACGGATATTTATTCATTATATCATGTAATATACCTGAAAAAAAGTTTCACCACCTATTCTACGGAATACCTACGTCAAAGTAGCTTTATGCATGCAAAGTCTCAGCCCGATCGGTTTAAAATTGACTAAGTTCAATACAAATTTCATCCTCTATTTTATCCCCTTGGGGATAGAATTGATCAAAATTCTTTCTTAGCGGATGCCTACGTCATAACATCTACCTGCATGTAAAATTTCAGCCCGATCCGTCCAGTGGTTTGGGCTGTGCGTTGATAGATCACTATGTCAGTCAGTCACCCACCTTTGATTTATATATATTTAGATAGATGTGACAATAGTATCTAGCTATCAAAAGACCAACTTAGTCATTTTACCACCAAAAGACATGTCAAAGTACTAAATAGAGCAAAATATCATCATTACATCGCTATGATGTCGTATCCTACGGCTAGAGCACGACTAGAGTTAGGCGTTCGCATCTCTGCACTCTAGTGGTAGACATTATAGGCAGATAATGATTCTGTAATAAATAAATAAGCTGAAGTAAATAACGTTTATCTCACAATCTGTCCTCTCTTGGCAAATGGTATTGTGTGGTGTTGCTGTCTTGTATCACATTCGCCATGGTAAGAGTGTGTCCCATCACGTTCTTGCGTCTCCGGTACATTTCTCTATGAGGTCTGATGTCTACCATAGTACCATCGTAGTAGCCTCTTGGTTTATACACCATGAAACCACTGAGCGACGTCCTGTGAACTAGAATACTCCACAATATTAAAGCGCGTAAAAAGCCGTTTAAGTTACATAAAGCATTTACGCAATTTGCTTTATATTCATAAGAATAAGAATGATTTCTCTATCAAATAAATCTGGGTAGGTCATATATTTATTTGTCAAAATGTATAGTTAGTTTAAGAAAAATATAAAGATTTTAATAAAGAATAAAATTTCAACTTACTTTCGGTCAATTTAAAACCATATCTGATTCTCTCTGCTAACACTACATCACTGTCTGGCAATATTGGACTATTCAAAACTAATGAAAATGATGTCACATTTAACGAGCTTGATAGCATTAACCAACGAAATGGTGATGCGAAAAGTTTCCTTGAAATAGCCTGCATAAATATTTATCAGGTTACAAATATACAACAAAATATAATAAATAAAGTATGTAAACAAGTTAGTAGTTACTTAGTTTGATAATAAAAATGTAACTGAAAGATAAAAAAGAATTCTTACATCATAAACAACTTCAGGGGCATTAGCACAATCGAAATCAAGAAGGAATAGTAAATTATGATACAGGTATTCCGTTGTTAGAACTGGTGTTTCCGACAATCTGAATCCGGCTTTTGATATTTCGACTGCTAATTTTACTTTTTGCTCTGTAATAACAATACAATACAAAAAAAAGAAGGCAAGTCCTTTTATTTTCACATTTTATCTGCTCTGCTCCGGAGTGGTCTCGAGGTCATCCACATAACATGTACATACACAAATACAGCAGTGCAAAGTAAGGGCACAGATATTAGGGTCTAACTTTTACTGCCCCATCTGCGTAGGATCATTATGCATTCATAATTTAAAAATTATTGTATTCAATGAATTTTATATTTTTATGACAAAACTGAATAACTAATTATGTAGATATTTACGTGAACTCCAACATAATTTATTTATTATCACGCATGTTGGTTTCTGTTCGTTAATGACGTAACTTTTAATAAAATCTATAGTAGTGTAGTCCCTAGCGTCTATCATTGTGAGACACAATGAACCAAGTGATAGTATCAGAACAAGCTTCATGTTAATTCAATATAACGGTACAAAAACTGATGGTGAAACAGCTACACAAAAGTTATTTCTGTTAACTACATTTTATCAAACGTTTTATATAAACCTGAAATAATTGTTAAATTACTATTTTCATTATTCAGAAATCTTTGTTTAAAGTCTATCTTTGCAGACAAAATTACGAATAATTGCCAGCTAGCAAACAGATATTTTGTAATTATTTCTTGAAGCTCAGCAAACATAATTAGGTAGGTATATTAATAATGAAAGTACGTGTTTCAAGAACGAAATATACTTAATGGACAGTGATTTGCATAAGTAATTAGATATTCCATCAAGTGCTAGTTAATTATGTTTATTTATTTGACTTGATTCGGATTGTGTTCTTAAAAAACTTAGTTTACGCCCTCTTTATGAAATTCATATTTGAAACTTACACGTTATTTTTTGTGTACAGCGTAAAACTTTCATGAATAATTGTGTTATTATTATTATGACAAATATGATTAAAATATAATAAAATAAAACAAGTAAACACAATTCCGCTTTATTTCATTATATTATTTGATTTTTATAAATAAAAAATAAAAATATTTACAATTCACTTAAAATAATACATCTCGCAAATAAGTTAAAGAGTTACAGTTACCAAAGATCAGTTATATAAATTATATCAGGTTTATTATCAGAATACAGTTAAAAAAATCGAATTACGAATCTTAGATTACAAACTATATCTACAGAGGTACCTAAGTATCTTGGCGACTCGATCACAGCATCCTAGATCTCATTCCACTCAGCATAGGGTACACCGTGGAGGTTTTGGTGGGTGGCGTTTGGTGGCGGGAGAGAGACCCATACGAACCCTGTCGCTCGCCAGAAGGCAGACTGTGTTTAAAGCATTACCCCGGCACAGTGGCGTAACTACAGGTTGGTAAGTCGGCAAAATGTCAATGGCCCCCAACTGGAAGAGTAGACTCCTTACTCCTGACATTTATTATTACACAATAAGTGTAAATTGAATATCCGATGAATTTGCCACGGGCCTCAAACGGTATAGTTATGCCACTACCCCGACGCATAAAAAAGGTAAAGTAAACTTAGGTGCCAACCCTACACTGACATATGTATCAAAACAAACTATATTACATATTTAATTAGACAAAACAATTATAATGTACAGTGGTATGTGTTGTACAGTCAAAATAAATTATAAATAGGTCTTTAGGGAATTTCACCTATTTACATATTGATTAATTATTGTATTGAAGATAAAATTTGTTGTTAATATGCTATTCGATATACTTTTCGTCATATTCATATCTTTCTATGCAGTTTATGTATAATTTATGTTGTTGCAATATAGTAGCGAATATTTGGTCTGACAAGGTGTTATCAAATTTACATAAAGTAAAAATAAAAGACAAAAAACACGATTTTGGAATGTAAAAATAAACTTCACTTAAGATATAAGATCACAGATTGTTATTAAACAAATATCATTAATTATTATAAAATAAATAATTTTTAAATGTATTATTTTAATTGTTGATTCACTGTTGACAGCTTATTCTATTAAATAGTGTATAAGCTATAACGACTACTGGCTTTGTTCTGATAATAAAGCAGCGTTTATTTGTTTATTATTTTCTTCGGGAACTGTCACAGGGCAGTCGAAATTTCGACATAAAGAGAATATCTGGAACAAAAAACATCAACAATTTATTCTTGAGGTGAAGGTTTTAAATTGTATTCTGATGATGTTATATCAAGATACAAGTATTTTGTGTATTTATCAATTATCGCTTTTATGCCCCACTGCAGGGGCTCGGGCCTTCCTTATAGATGGTTAAGGAGAATGGAAATAATTAATTTTAAAAATTTACTGTTTTCGGATAATTATATATTATTGGTATCAAGTAAATAAATAGAATCATTCTACTCACAGTATATAATAATATTGGTATTGCTATAATAGCACCAGCTAACACATCCCACCAATGGTGTCTTCTATCAATTATCCTGGATACTGCACAGAACACAGCGGACACTACCATTAGAGCTTGAATTACAAATACAATATTGGACTGGTGATGTCTAGTGCGGCAGTGTAGATAGTACTGTTGACAAAATAGCTAACTCAATGTTGAACAACAACATAATTTTTAGTAAACATTATCATTATTGCAGAAAATATAAATAAAAAAAAAATAATAATAAAATAAAACATATAAAAAAGTTTGGGCAGTGATATAACATATTTAGAGTCAAAACTTACCACCAAGAAGAATGAAGCGTGTATTGCTAATGAAGTGTGGCCTGAGGGAAAGCTTGTATCAGCTTGATTAAGCCAGTGCCCCTTTGTGCATGTGTAACTGGACACATATTCAGTTCTGAAACAACAAATCAGATTTTACAATAATGTTTACTATGTCAATAATTGAGATGTAAAATACTTTGATATTTATAACATTTGCAAAAGGCAGGGATTTAAATCTGAATCTTCTGCCAGTCAAAGCCTCATTAGTACTATTTTTGTTTTACTTTTAAAACTAAAACTTTAATATTATGTGTAGTTGTTCAATAACTTTAAATAAAAGAATAAATATAATCTAATTTGTGAAAGTTATTCTGATAGATTAAATACACAGAAGAAAATCTGTTAATAAGCCATTTAAAAATTATGGTAGAATAAAGAAACACATGTATGCATGCAGCATGTCTGGTTACCATTTGTCAATTTTTTTCCCACACTTGATTTTGAACTCTACTTTCAATACATTAAAGTTTAAAATTAAGTGAAAGATATTTTATAGAGTCTGGCAAGCGAAACGTGTCACAAGAAAAGGGCGGCAATTTCAAAAATTCTTAAGCAGTAAACACTGAATGTAGTACTGCAAAATAATTTTGATACTTTTATTAATTATATTTAATCTTAACATTTAGATATCAATTAAAATTATTTGTTTTGGAACATTTGACTAAAGCGTGACTGTTCTTAATTGTACAGTTAACAGCATATCAGTAGGCCTATTCACTAACTCAACTGACAACCAAGAATCGTCATCACCGTAAAAAATAGACACTTTGATTGTGTCAAAATCACTATTTCGTATTCTCTATCAATGATGAGCAATTTCGAAATGTCAATATCGGCATTCTCCACTGGACTCCATTTTGACACTTGATTTCGTATCGATAAACTGTATTAAAGTAACATTGTTGCAAAGCATATTTGAAGTCGTCGCATAGTACCTCTTAAGCCATTTGTTGTTAAATTAAAGCGAAAAAAAATACGTATCCAATATTTTTCTATTATCTGACTGACGGACTAAATCGAATCTTTTTTTTAACCCATTCGTTATACCTATTGGCTAACAGCACTTATAATATTAAAAATTCATATTTGTCATTAATTAAAAGGGTGTTTTTTGCAACGACTTCTTTGTTTTTTTGTAATGAATATGGGCGACTCTGGCCACATTTTTTTAATAAATGTGATGTTAGCCAATTTTGATTTCTGGCCCTTATATTTATAATGTGTTCATAACACATACATGTCTCCTAAGGGATTTTCATCACAACCTTTTGCTCTGATCCAGAACCACTATCTATCAAATTAAATTAGTCAATATAAACACCAGATTACAATAAAAAAAACATTTATTTTTGTTACAATTAAGTGCCATGGATAAATTACATAATACAGGTGTCACAAAATCATCATGTTAATCACAATAGAAAATTTAAGATAAGATTTTGACTATGAATCAGACTAAAAATACTTTAGTCTGATTCATAGTCAAAATCTGTTTCTAAATATTCTACACCTGATAACAATGATAAGGAATCATCAGAGTCACTCTCTTCACTACTGTCTGCACCAACAGATATAATAAAAATTTTTCAAGTTCGTTTTCAACAATGCCATCTTTTAATTTGTAATCATTTTCGACATTTAAAACATGATCAGTGTATTTCTTCCAGTCACTAGGGGTAATTAAGTTAAAACACTCTATTATTAAGTTTTCCATTTCCTTTCCTGGTATTCCAATGTTTCTGCTTGCAATTTTTCTTTTTGCTTGACTCCAAACCATCTCTATTGGGTTTAAGTCACAATGATACGGTGGCAGCAATAAAAGTTCATGATTATGTTCTTTTAAAATCTCTTCAGCTTCATATACAGGCAATGTTTTCTTATCATTAACCAAACACATTAACTCTGCCTTTGTCTGATATTCCTCAAAATGTATTCCATTATTTACAAGCCATTTACGGATATCTGCTTTGGTATTAGACATTATAGGCGGTTTATTGATTTGTTTTATATGGTAGCTGGCATTATCCATAACAATTACACTGGGCTTACTTAAATTTGGTATTAATTTTTCTCTGACCCATTTCATAAAGTTCGATGAGTTCATATCATCATGATAATCAGCAGATTTGGATTTACTACTGAACACTAATAATGCACCAGGCACAAAACCTTCCTCAGATCCAGCATGCACAACAATATGCCGTTTTCCAGAGGATATCTTTGTAGTGACACCAGTTGTTGAAGGTCCTTGCCAAGAATTTGCTTTCCTTCGTTTCGTTTTATATTTATTTCTCTCAAATACTTGTGCCTCCATGCAGAAATCTGGTATTTTTCTATAAGCATAGAACGTTCATTTTCATTGCTTTTAAAAGAAAATCCATTCTTAAGCATAATTTTTCGTAAAGTCTCACGGCTACCACTGAATCCTATTGCATCTTTTAATTCATTGTGAAGGCTTCTTAATGTTGGAACAATTTTTTTCACACAGTAAAATTCATTTACTTTATTCCGAATTGCACTTAAATCAAAATTATCTAAAGCAGACACTGTTGGTTGATGAGGTCGTTTTTTCCCAGGAGTGTCCCATTTTCCTTTATTAATTAATGCTTCATTTTTTATCCTTCTTAGTGTCCTTATACTTACATCTATAAAAAATTAAACACTTTGAAACAAAGATATGTTAAATGTATTTAAAAGCAAATAATGATAGACACATACATCAAAATAATTTAAATACCTATTCAACTATGAATGCAATTTATGTTTAATTTAGTTAAGTTTATGTGCATATTTAGCATGTATAACAATTACATGGTTTGATTAGTTTCATGAATTCTGTGAATTTCCTTGTTAAACAAAACATTCTTATGACATCATTGGATGTCAACAATAAAAACCAATACATCATAAAAAACCTATGTAAATATTATAGGAATACTATCAATCTATCTTAAATCAAAACAAGAAAAGAGACCTGTCATTGAAGAAATTTTTTGTAAGTACTGCGTTTCCGAATTCAGCATTTCTTGTTTTTCTAAAGTTTTTATTGCATTTATCTCCTCCATTATTGGTTGAATATCACCATCACAGTTATCTGAAATAGAGCAATATTTTATAAAAAATATCTGTTTAGTTAATTACAGAAAATTAAAACGAAAGTATCAAAATTATAATACAAAACTAACCTAAAAAAGATACAACTTTATCTAATCGTTGTAATTTCTCCATGAAATTTTTATTTAATTCAGTTTTCACTTCAGTAAACTTGTCAATCATGATGGAAAGAAGTTTCCTCGATGAACTTTTTATCGGCTTCGACATAATTTTTAACCAAAAACACAAGTTCAAATTCGCAAAAACAACAAAATTCAATATTCTTGAATTGTCTAACGTAGTGTCAAACTGACAGTTCTATGTTGTTGCCATATGAAAACGGAAAAATAGGTGGTGTCACGTTTCGCTTGCCAAACTCTATATTTGTATCATCTAGTGTGCTGTTGACTGTATGTCAATGTACATACAGTACCCATAAACACAGAACACTTTTTAGTTTTTTTCTTTTTTTTAGTTTTGTTCATAAAATCACATTTGAGAATTTTATTTACTATTTATTTACATAAGTAATTTTCATTACATTTCACAAAGTATCGCAAGAGTTAGGTAATAAAATCAAAAAGCTTACCCTGTACATGTAGATGCTTCTTTTGGGTTACAAGCTTCAAAAAAATGTGGTCTTGGTTCACCAACATATATTTTCAATGTCTGGACTACAGTCAAGTTGATGAGTAATCCAAATAAATATTCTTTATACCAGTGAACAGCCTGCTGTTTTGAACTCTTGTCTTGATTATATATTTTTTCTGTCATCAAAAGCTGTAAAAAAGCAGTTATTCATTTTATGTTTTAGCTTAAGTATATTTAATAACAGTAATAGGTTGGACAAAAAGTTTCTTTGCATTTTATATGAAAATTCAAAACATTTTTTAATAAAGTTTATATACATTTAGGTACCTAAAGTAAGTAAGAAGATACAATTTTGATTTTGATAACTTTTTCCGTCTTGTAGGTACGGACTGTACGGGGCTGCACTGCCTAGAGAAATCTGAAGAGACCAATATATGCGAAAAGACTTTTCCCCAACCAAATTTAGCAATGGTAATTTTAAATATGCAAAGCAATAATACTTTTGACACTTACAGTTACTAAAGGTAGGAAAATAACTGAGGTCAATAGCAATTTCATTGAAATAGTATCTCCAGTGAAGCTATGTGACAACGCTGGATCATTGCATTCAAACCCAAGTTGACGTCTAGGAATTAACCGTAATTCCACTAGCAGGAACACTGTTAATACTGAAACAGAAGAAACAGTGTAATATGATTTACAATATAAAAATAACAAGGAATTAAAATAACGAAAATGACTGCTTTTTAATATTATTGAGATCAAAATAAATCAATACAAACCCAGATGCCAGCGGTTAGTTTTTGACCAAATATATAATATTCTGTCCATCTTCTCACAATAAAAATTAAACTGTTTATTATATAAGCTAAAAAAATCACGAGAATAAGTGTGTCGGCAATTAGTTTTTTTATTATTTATATGAACAGATGTATCATGAGTCATCAGATCAGATTGAATATATAATAAGATAAAGTCAAAAATGTTACTGATAAGCGAAGAAAACTAAAATAAACAGGTTTCACTTCACTTCACGATTTTCAGTACGGACCAAATCAAAAAGTTTCGGAAATATTGGTTAAAGAGAAGATAAAAAATCTGTTAATAATTTTATGTTTATTTAACAAACGTTATAGAAACAACATATTTGTTTCTATTACATATTACGTACATACGTACAAATTAATAACAAATTCGTTTTGTCTTTAAACAAACTACTTTCATTATAATCATAGATAAGTTATCTAAGATATTAATACCAAAGAGTACTTTTATTTTATAATATATTATATTATAGTCACATTATAGTCCTAAAATTGTCATTGACTGACACTGACAGTAATGTCGGTCAGTGTTGCCAACAGTTGAATTAGCTCTCCACTAGATTCTACTTTAAAAACCACCAGAATACCACTAACAAATATGTCACTACATTCATACTCGCTAAATTTTTCGCTAAGAGAAATTTGTTTTATGAAAGAAAATAATAAGTGTCTATAATATTAGTTTCCTTTATTATTACGCCACAAAAATTAACAATCAGTAAACAAAATATAGTATACCAACACAATTTATTCAATAATAACTATTCTAAATTAATTCATCTTCTTCAGGCGAATCATTTTTGTTTGCACCATAATCTTCCATTCCAGATTGATATGACTCTTTGGTACCGATTTGTTTGACAACGGCTTCTGGAATTTTTTAATCATTGCAGCATTTTTCTTCCAACCTCAAACAACAACGTATTCTCAAAATAGCAGATAAAAGATATAACTTCATTCTATTTCTCTGCTTGTTCTTTATTACATTCATGCTGCTAAATAGTGTCTCAACATCGGCATTACAATGAGGTAGTATTAGGAGAGTAATCGCAAAAGTCGCCAATTCCTTAAACCTCGATTCTCCTTGAGTGTCTTTGAATTGCAATACTTCCATCCAAAATTTTTTTGTGTTTCTAGTTTCATTCCATTTTAATAAATGAATTTGATGCCACTGATCATCGACTCTCGCTATATGTTCTGCACTTTTATTGAACTGAGCCATTATGTCAATTAGTGCTTCTTTATTGTGATTAAGTGCTTGTTCAACACTTATTCGGGAATTTTTTTTCATTAGTGTCAAATTTTCTGGTAACCTATTCTTTATTTCTTCAATTAGACTGACTATAAATGTTATGCACCGATGCCGCATCATTTCTTCGTCTTCCCTTGGTAACCCTTTTTCTCTCATTTCAATTATTTGTTTTTCAAATCTGAATCCAAGATAACATTTTTGATCCAAAAAACCACGAATATTTTGATTAAAAATATTAACTTTATTTGTAGGTAATGTTACCTTGCAGACAAGCATATCTATCAGGTTAGTTAACTCTTCATACAATTTGATATGGTCCGTATCTTTTGACTCGAACATTTTATTAACTCTGTTTATTTCAATTAATATTGGATATAAAAATGAAATATATGCGTAGTTCATCTCATTCGCATATAAAGAGTGCAATAACTCGGCCGTGTGACATCTTTCGTGCACCTTAGCTATTGCAAAATGAGTTTTTAACTCGAGCCATTGCGTGTATATTCTTGATACAGCAGATTCAATTGACAACCACCTCGTTTGGCATGCTTGAACAATTTTTAACGGTTTCTGACCGTCGTTAATGGTTTTGTATAATTCTTTATACAGCAACTGTCTGGATGTCGAGCGGCTAAACCAATCATATGTCTCCCTAATTAGAAATTCCAAATTTCTCGGCAAAAATTCTTTTGCTGCAGCAGAAACAGCCAATTGCAAGGAATGACACAAGCAACGCACCAAAATCAGATGTGGTACCTCTTCCTTCAATTTGATATAGACTCCATTATTTACTCCAACCATCACAGAAGCGTTATCTGTACCAAGTCCCATTAAATTTTCCAATCGGAGATCGAATCGTTTTAGCGTCTTCTTTATAGCAGAAACAATACCTTCAGCATTAAACTCATGCAGTTCAGCAAGGTCTAGATACGTGGAAACGAATTTTTGGTATAATTCACTAAAATAAATTACAATTAAACCTAAGTATTTCTGCACAGCAATATCTGTGGATTCATCAATTAATAAGCTAAATGGTTGATCTTTAAGATCTTGTTTGAGGACCTCAGTGAAATGTAATGCTAACACATTTTTTATAATCGAGGCGCATTTAGTTCGGTGCAGTTGAACTTTTTTAATATCTTTTTCATGACTGTGATTAATAACCTCTCCTAAATGGTCTATGACACGTATGCTAGTATGCATGGCGGTGAATAGTGCGAGTCTGGCTTCGTCCTTTTTTTTACTTTCAATGGGCTCTGTCTTGAATGGGATTTTGGGCTGAGTAATTATAAGCTGAAACAATTTATTTGTTAAAAAGAAATCAAAATAAAACCATAAACACTAAAACCTGAATACACGAAACAAAATCCAAAGCATTAAATTAGTAATTAATAATTAGGTTAGTTTTATTCTTTTTTAAATGTAAAACATTACCCTTCTTTCGTAGTCAGGTGAAAACCGACATATGAATGAGTAAACAATAAAAGCGGTTGTTTACCTTCTTATTTTGTAGATGCTTCTTTGACATCCCATGAGTCTTTAAGTCTCCGTAGTGACTCCTTAAAGTTGTACCACAAAATTTACATTTTGCTACTCGACCCGTGGTACTTTCAATAGCTTGTAGCCAATCTTTTAAATGTGGGTCTTGAAGCCAAGAATCCCGAAATTGTTGCTTATATTGTGGTTTCGGCATAGTTGCTTATGAATAAATTCGTGATGATAACACAAAAAACATGACAACTTACTGAGCTGCACGGAGTATTTCAATGAATGAGTTCACTGAAAAATAAAGTACAGGGAATCCCCGCCTACAAAGAAACATCGTCTTTTTAGTGGATAAGTGTTGCCTGTACATGAACGTAAATACCATTTAAAATTTAAAACACGAGATCAAAGAAGTCCATAATCTATATTATAGATTTAATATCTATAATATAGATTATGGACTTCTTGACTTGAAATATGAAAGTAACTTAGCGGATGAGTGATCGCAGTTAAAGTAATGGAAACTAAATTTTTATAAGCCACTAGAAAAATCCACCAGCCACTAAAACCATTATTTCGCCACCAAATGAAGGGTTAAAACCACCAGTTTTAGTGGAAAATCCACTAAGCTGGCAACACTGATGTCGGTTATTGTTGTCTTTAATTCAAGACAAAAGGACCTAGTCCATGCTTCCTAATAAAATAACGTTGATGTTAAATGCATAAATTTTCTTGTGACTAAACAAATATTTATTCCTAGAATTCAATAGCCTCGCATCAGCTATTGAAATCAAAAAACTTTTAGGTTAGAATATAGGTACTAACGACTTGGGATCCAGTAATTAGTCAAATAAAATCTCAATCCAGATCACACATTGCAAAACTAAAAGATACAGTTACCTAGTTCATTCTGAAAATATAAAATTGAAGGGAGCAATTCAATTTTCTTGTCGTAGTTTGTTTCGCCAGTTCTTCTCATATAAAACTCCCAAATTTGGAACTGGTAGTAGATTACGGTAGCCAGGGGTAAATAAATATATCAAATATATTTTTAAGTTTATTTAATTTAATAAATGTAAACGTTTGCATGAAATATAAAAAAAAAAAAAAAATTGTGAATGTGTCCGATATTATTCTCGTGAAAGTAGCTATACTCTTAATATTACTCTTAAGTATTATGTGAACACGGAACCTGTAAAGAGTCCGAAACGAATATAAAAGACGAAATAATGAAGATAGAACAAAAGGACACTTAAAAAGGATAAGGGACTTAAGATCTAAAAAATTAAAAACAAAGATCTTCTGGTCATTTTAAAGGATGTATTCAATGACATAGAAGACCAAGAACTTTTATTAGCTATAAAAGAGCAAAACGAAAATATATTCAAAAACCTATCAGAGGAGGACAATAGGCTCAAAATTAAATTTAAAAAAAGTACAAAAAATCGAAATAATATCATAGACATAAAAGAAGAGGACCGGCCATACCTACGAAAAAAGCGTATATGCCTAAACTTCAAATGCAAATTCTTCGATGGCGGATTGTCATAGGGTGTGACCCAAGATATCGATATTTGTATCGACATTGAAGTCATATTAAATAAAAGTTAGTATTTCGTGAAACTGCTACAATACTACTACTTATTAAATAATATAATATAATTTTCATTGTTAGGGGCATGGCTAAACTATTACCTATTACACTTCTATTCATTTCACACTTACGTACCAATCCTATTTATGATTATTATTAATTAAATTGAAAAATTCACGCCAGTTTCAAGAAAATAATATTTTTTTAAAAGTGGCGTGAATTTATCAATTATTTATAAATCATTAAGCAATCTTTTGCTCGTATTTTGTTGGACATCTAAAATTTCTTGCGTTCTTTGTTCTTGCGACTCCGTTGCGACACTATAGTAAATAAAACATATGTTACCAGCGTATGATGGCGCTTCCCACGGGTAAAAGATTATTCGTATTTCAAATTTCATCAAAATCCGTTCAGTAGTTTTTACATGAGAGTAACCAACATCCATCCTCACAAACTTTCACATTTATATTATTTAATAATATAATTTTATAATATGATTGTACCTCGATAAATATGTTTCTTTTTCCTCTAATATAGCCAATTTTACATAGTTTTAAGAACTATAGTACCAAAATATATATCTTAAAAGTTTAACAATAATATATATTTTATAATTATTTCCATATATATTGTCAAGTTGACATTTTGCAATTATAATTAAATAGTTTTTTTAACATAAGTTTAATTTTGTATCCACGGAAAGTGTGACTACTGTCCAAGATAACTACCACGGTAACTATAATAAGCTTTTAATGAGTCGATTGACGAATGAATTATTATGCTTTTTTTTTGTCTGTTATATATTTTTTATTGTTTTGGTGGAAGGAAAGTGACATTTTGGTCTAATGAAGTCATTTTTTATTTTTCAGTACGAAATTAAACAGGGTGCAAAAGCAGCCCTTGCAGTTTCTTACCGGTTCCTTTCTTACAGTTTCTTCTTCTCTTGGTATAAGGTTTCCCGTAATAGATTGCTGAACTATAAGCACAGAGTTTCGACTTTCTTAT